CGTCTGGAGATCTCCCTGTACACCCCCCTGTATGCCCTGGGCTCCCACATGCCCATGATCTAGGGCTGGCTGAGGGGCGGATAGCCGCATCAGGACCCTGCTGGGGGTGCTTGTCTCATGAAAGAAAGGAAGAAACTTAAATAAAAACTCTACTTCTTTCCACGATCTTCCCTTCTCTAACCCCTGCCACCCGCCATATCCCCAAGCTCTGGGACTGCTGATGCGTATGAAACTGGTTCAGTGTCTAGCCTGGGTCCCACCCTATCTAGGCTGTTGTCTTGCCCAAAAATGTGAGGAAGGACCTTTCACTTCCTTGAGCCTCATTTTCTTCATCTGTAGAGGGAGAAAAGCTGTGCGCCTTCTGACTTCTCTGGTAGGATGTCCACACACAGGTGGACACACCCAACAAGGCATGCTGGGTTGGGCGCTCTGGTGTGGTGCGCACAGCTGGGAGCTGCTCTTTGGGACAGGAGGCGCCTCTTCTCTGGGCCGCGCTCCAACACCCAAAGCCGCAGCTGGGCTCAGGCTGCCTGAAGCTCCTGAGCTGGCTGTCCTCCTGCTCCTCCCCAGCTGGCGGCATGGCTTTCTCCATGCAGTGACCCGAGACGACCTCTGGGTGGTGCTCCCTGACCACTGGGCACAAGTCCCGCCATCCTCCTGGGGAGCCCTGGCCTTGCACTTTTGGGAGATGCTTTTCTGTCTTAACTTGTGTGCGTGTACGCCTGTGTTCCCTCAAAGCATTTGCTCATCCTTTTAACATTTCACCTAACCCCAATCTTGAGAAAGGACAGGGCAAAGAAGGGGTCTTTCCATTTCCAGGACATGGAAACCAAAACCCCAGCTGGGGCTCGATGGAAGAACTAAGGTGTCTGGGTCTAAGGAACAGAAGATGACCCTGAGCCTAGTGTTTTAACCTCTATCCCTGGTTTCCAAATTCTAGTTTTCTTCTATTGCAGAATCCTTTCCCAGTGGCATCTTAAGCAAAACTTAAAGGACATAAGACAGATGAAAGCTGAGTGGCTCTGGCAGAAGTAGGTGGGGTGGGGAGCACAGCCTACCCTCTCCCACCTAGAGAACTTAGCCTTTGGGCAACAACTGAAGTCCCTCTTGAATCTCAGGGCTCCAGAGCCCAAGTGTGAAAACCAGCACTCAGTAGGCGGCTTTGCAAGGGGCCCATGTCAAAAACCAAGTGAGATGGAAACAGCTGAGGCTGACGGGGACCCTGAGGACCTCGGCTGCTCACCAACCACCCCCGCTGAGGTCCCGGGGTGGTGTAGCATCCTGTCCCTGAAATCTTCAGGAGGCAAAAGGAGGACGGACCTCTCACCTTTCTCCAACATGAATGGCTGAGTCAGAGGTGGGATGGTCCAGAAGTCGTCACCGTCCAGGCTACGCAGGGACTGCACGGGGATGGTGGCCAACTGGCCAAAGTCGACAAACATGACCACAGCCCAAGTGTCCACTTTGTCCAGCACCCAGCACCTGGCAGAGGGACAGAGGACCTAGGAAGTGGCTCCACCTGAGCCACGCACCGCTGTCCTCCACAAGGGGAGGGGTGAGGGTGGGGGACAGCAAGCTCACTGGGCTTCTCCCAGGGCAGGAAGGCGATCAGAAGAATCAACCTTGAAGAAACAGCAGCAGGAGCAAAACCAGAGTCCAAAGGACAGAGAAGCCAGGAGGGAGGGCTGAGAGAAAGGATGGACAGATGGACAAACGGACAGCTCTTCCCACAGCCTCTCCCACACCCCCGACCCAGGCTGCACGCACCTGTTCCAGGCGTGCCCGTACTCGCCCAGCTGGTACTCAGCCAGACAGCGGGCCCCGCGCTGCACGGCGCACTCCTCCAGGAAGGGCTGCTGCTCCTCGGCCTCAGCCAGGGCGCTGAACAGCACCTGCATGTTCTCGTGCAGGGTCTGCGGGCATACACACGCAGAGGGCCTCACCGTCTGCCCGTGTGCAGACGCAGCTGGTCCTGGGGGTCAGAGTGCAGCACTCTGGACCTCCACTACTGACGGCCCCATCGCCACCCTCGTGGAAGGCACAGCAGCAGCACGGAAGGCACAGAGGCCCAGGCGGGCCACAGGCAGCACATACCTCCGTGATGTGCATGGCCCAGAAAAATGGGGTCCGGGGGACGATGCTGGTCACCAGTAGCCCCACCTCCCCGTGGATGCTGTGGATGAGGGCCAGCCAGCTCAGGTCTCGGAAGCACTCCCTCAGCAGCTGCACCAGGAAGGAGCCCCTGCAGGGAGCCGGGCCAGGAAAGGGGCCTTGAGGGAGCTGGCCAGCCCTCCTGCAGGAGGAGAGCCACCCGCACAGGAGGGCTGTGCCCACCCCCTCCAGGGGCAGGGCAGAGCAGGTAACCAAATATGAACAAGCAGGGCAGAGGACGGGAAGGACCCCACTGGGGCGCAGGTTTGAGGGCATGGGAAGACAGAGCAGCAGACAGAAACACACACACATCAGGAAACTCCAGGAAGAGGGGGCAAAAGCTCTCGCTGGTGGATTGTTTGAAAAAGAATTACTTCATTTAGCTTTATTTATTTTTAATTTGACCAGAGAAGGACAGAGAGAGAGAGAGAAGGAAAGTGAGAAAGCAAGCTGCCAGGTCTGGGACTCAAACCGTGGTTGGCCATGTGGGAATCCAGTGCCCCACCTGCCAGCCCCCCACTGGTGGATTTCAAGCCTGTTCGAATGATTTGTGAACCCCTAAAGCCACCACGCAGGCCATGCTCTCAATCCCACGGTAGCTCCCCTGTGGTCATGCACGTTCCAGACTCCATCCTGCCACTCCACTAACTTGTGCACCTGCCTGAGTCACGCACAGCTGGTGACACAAACCTGCTCACAAACAACACAAAAGCCACAGGTCCTACAGCATGTTAAGGCAAGCAGATTCTCCTGGGATCCCTGATATGCTCCACACAGAGAAAGGTCCAGGGTTTGTGCAAGCACTCCCAGGCCCGAAGTGGACCAGGGTGTGAAAGACCCCACTGGGGAGAGCTCCTGCTTCTCTCACTCATGAAAGGAAGGAAAAATAAAAAGAAAGAAAGAGAGAGAGAGAGAGAGGAAGGAAGGAAGGAAGGAAGGAAGGAAGGAAGGAAGGAAGGAAGGAAG